TCTTCTTCTTCTTCTTCTTCTTCTTCTTCTTCTTCTTCTTCTTCTTCTTCTTCTTCTTCTTCTTCTTTTCTGTACTTGGGTTTGAAGCCAGAGCTTTCCCACTAGGCTTTCCCTAGCTCTTTTTACTATCTATTTTGAGGCAAAATCTTAATGAATTGTTAACTTGCTCAGATGGGGCTTGAACTTGCAGTCCTCCTGCAGATCCTCCCCAAGTGCTGGCATTCCAGGCAAGTGCCACCACATTCAGCTTTCAGGGCCAATATGCTGAGAACCTTTGGCTTCCCTGTGCTCACGTGACTTCCACGGACACGTGGAGAGCCCTCAACATAACAGTTCCACTAGGTTTGGGAGGGTTTGTCTCAGGTACCTTCATCCATTCAGGGTTTGAGACCAGTTCAGCTCCCCCAGCCCAGCAGACCACGAAGGACTATTCCTGCACTTCTGCTGTCATATGTGGCTTCCTGGAAGGGTGAGTGCTGAGTGACCCCACCCCCTAAACACACTGTCAGAGCTCCTGACTCAGCCCATGGCAAAGATACAGTAAGATGTGGAGGGTTGAGTACACAACACAGCCCTGTACCTTTATAAACCAGAAACCCAGCAATTGGTTGCCTCCTTGAGTTAGAATTGCTCCTTGAGTTAAAAACCGCTTTGGCAGAGAGCATGAGCTCAGAATACTTTGGGAGTGAAAAATGTGGACAGTAGAGGAACTAAGCGCAAAGCTGTTTGAGCTCATTTTGTTTTACAGTAACAAAAGAAGCCTGGTGGTAAAACATAGGATCTTGTGCTAGAAATATGTTTAACAAGGTGGATTTCACTGATTTTTGTTTTTCAGAATTGGACACAATACCAAAAACATCCTTGGAATCACTGAAAGCTTATTGTATCACAAACAGAGTATCACAGAGTATCAGCTAAGAGTATCACAAACAGAGCAAAAAGCCCAAAGCGGAAAAATTGTCCCATCTGCTGGCTGTTGCCACCCACTCATCTCTTGCCAGAGAACGTTACCTACCAAAACCATGGGAGGACAGCTCTGGGAGACTGAGGCAGGAGGAGCATAAGTTCAAGCCCAGCCTGGGCAACATAGACACTTAGCAAAACACTGTCTCAAAACTAAAAACAAAGAAGCTCAGTGAGGAAGCCTTGGGTTCAATCCCCCTGTACCTCAAAGAAGAACTCTAATAAGTCAAAGAAGAGTACAGGTGGGTCATGAAATACAAAGCACATGGCCCTCTTGTTGTCGTTGGTCACAGGTAGGTGGGAACTCCAGTAGTACTTGGCCTTGGGATGGTGGGGAGTTCTCCCAGGAAGGAGGAGGGCTGGGCAGAAGGGACCAGGCATTTCCCAGGCTGGCCAGGGACCCTAAGTGTCTGATGTCTGGAGCCTGCTCGCTGGCCCTGTCCAGTCTGGCTGGAGTCTGGGAGCCAGCGTGGCAGTGTTTGTGGAGCCAGAGTGGAGATTAAGTCATGTTTTAGAGGTGACCTCTGTCCAGCCCCTCTGCAAGCACCCCTCCCCCCTCACAGTGCCCACCTACAAGCGCTGTCCTCTGCCCCTCCCGCCAGCGCTGGACCCACGGCAGCCGCTCCCCCCAAGTCACCCTCTATCCAAATGGACCTGGTCTTTGTTGCTCTAATTAGATTATCTCTGCCTTAGGGACCTAAAGGACAGTCCCCAGCAGCCCCGGCTGGAAAGGCAGGTCACATAATCCCTGTTACCAAGAAGCTTGTCATTTAGCGTGTAGATCAACTAATTCTTTCAGTACCAGGGGAGCAATTGTTCGTCTTAGTATTGATTTGGGGGGAGATACAATCGCCTGCATTCCTGAGTCAGATTCGTTTACGGAAGCTAAAAGGTTCCACTTACTATATTATGAAGCCACCCCCGCCCCCACCACGAGCTCCATCCCAATTTAATGTCACAAAGCTGGGCAAATCTGGAGGGCTTTGTGTTTTTCCACTTGGTCTAATTGCAGCATGAGCCTCCAGTTGCAGAGAAAGAGGAGGAAAAACACAGGGCTATTTTAAGACACCCTGTGTGTGTATGTGTTTTCCTGGGGCTAGGGGCTCAGTCTGTCTCCCCCATCTGCCCCCACTTCCACTGCTCCCCAAGCATCAGGACAGGGAGGATGCTAGGGTGTCAGGCTCCCAACCCAACCACACCAGCCCACCTGCTTTCTGTATTTCATGATGACTTCACAGGTTGGGCTTTTGAATGCTGCTGGGGCATTTTCTGCATCACTATCCTTCCAGAGGGGAAGGCAGAGAAGAAAACTTGGAATTATGTGGAGTTAAAAAAAAAAAAAAAAATAGCTCTTGAGGTCCCAAGTCAGAAAACGCACTGAGATCTGGGGCAGCAGAGCTCATTCCTCCCATGATGGCCCCATTCTTAGGTGGTCACTCATTTTTCAGGCCCTGAAAGGACAGAAAAGAATGCCCTGTGGAGGGCAGGGCACAGATGAGGGTAAATAAATCGCATTCCTCACAAGTAAAGGTGCGTGTGCTCCTGAAGGGGACTAACCAAATTGCAGTGGGAATACTGAGGCGTCGCTGTTTGCAAGCCAAACTGCCAGGCTTCCAACAGAAGAGCAGACTCAGGGCTCTGCCAGGCACTCCTCGTGGGGAGACCTGAGATACAGTACCGGACTGCTTTCTAGTTATATTCTGGGCTCACAAGGGAAAGAGCAACAGTCACTACACCTTATGGCATTAGAGCACAGTCTCGTGGTAGATTAGACAAGTGTCCAGATTCTTGTCCTAGTTTCTCTAACTTTTATTGCATTGTTTTGCCTTTTGTCTCTTGCTATTGAACTGCAAAGGCTTAAGAAATATACCTCACGGGGCTAGGGAGATAGATCAGCGGTTTAAGAGCCTGCCTGGCCAGGGCAAGAACCTGGGTTCGATCCCTGGTACCACATGCCGTGCCACTATGCCAGCCAGCAAAACCAGGTGTGGTGGTTTCACACTTGTAATCCCAGTGCTGGGGAGACTGAGATAGGAGGATCACTGTGAGTCCAAGCTGCGCAGTGAGACCCTGTAGTAAATAAATAAAGAAATTAATTAATTAATTAACTTTTTAAGGATTTTGGACAAGAATATATTTATTTTTTCATAAAAGTTCTTTTTTTGTGTGGAACTGGGGATTGAACTCAGGTCCTTGCACTTGCCAGGGAAGCCCTTATTCTACTGAGCCATCTCCCTGGCCCCCTCATAAAAGTTCTCACAAAAATATATTTTCCTTAACTTAAAAATAGAGCTTTAGAAAACAAAATTGAGGTTGTGATAATTCATCACACATTTTACAAATAGCACTGAAAGGAAGACGCCAACACAAAGGATTTAACTTCTAAGTGTTGAAGTGATCATTTCAGAAGCTTGACTTTGTCCTTTAACAACCGGATTACTGGAGTCTTTTAGAATATTTTGCTGAGTTAACACACCTATAATATTCAAATAACGGAATTAAACAAAAAAGGGGATATATACAAATGAATGTCCATTTTGTATCTGTGTATTCAAA